CACCTTCTAACCACTCCCCAGATGCACAATGCTTGAAGTAAAACTGTTCCATTCAAATCTTTGAATGGGCATTTCCTCTTGAATTCACATAGAGGAGGAGAATAGTCATAGAATGCACCAATTGGCTTCTTCATGTCCACCTTGAATGCTAATAATAAAAAAATCCTGCAAATGACTGGATAATTACACAAAATGGATATAATATAAATGGCTGAGAAACTTACCCATAAGCAATTGAAAGCTGACATTTAAAAATAGTGCATAATTTCCTGAATTTGATAGCTGACATGCACACTTTTTGACAGTATCTGACAGTCTGCATTTGACAGCTCTGCACACCTCCTCTCCAAAAAAAGGAGAATGGTAAAGCACTATAAATGGAGAATCTTAATTCTGTGATGAACAGTTTCTATAAGAGAACAAAACATCTGCAACATAATAATAAAAAAAAGGAAGTTGTATGTTGGAATGGGTCTTCAAAAAGAATTTGACTAGGGCCTTGACGCGGCCATATTTTTTATTTTAGTTAAGGTACCCAAACAAGGAATAGGGAAGCTGTTGAAGATAATCACTGATGATTCTGGAATTTGGGTATAAGCTTCTTAGTATTTCTGTGAGGCTTTTTTGTACTGAAAAATGAATGAATGTGATACCTCAATGCAGTTGGCTATTGACATATTCTGTATATTCTATCTAGTAAGAGTTGTGCCAATTCAAAGGCAGGAAGAAGCTTCAAATCATGCAGGGACATTGACAGAGCATCCATCAGGAGTTCCTTAAATCAAACACATCTTTACTATGTGACATCTGACAGCAGAAACATTTCTTCAGATATGCTGCCATATAATCCTTGTGCTACTACTGTATGCACATAGCATACTGTACATAAATGTATTTGGAATGCATAGTCTATGACTAAGATTCTTGTGGGCACGCTAGTCCTAAAACATTTAATATGGCTTAACGTTTAATTAGTCATGACTTAAAATTTCATGAGCTCCTCTGTGTCGGATGCATGCCAATTTTGTAACCAAATAAAAATATAAAGACTCATTCGAGTTGAGTTGTACTCCTGGTGATGTCATGGACTCATCCATGCAGTTTTTGTGGCAAGAGGATGGAAGTGGTTTCCCGCTGCTTTCTTCCAAGATGGGGTTTTGAGTTCCCAGTCTTGCCTACAGCCCTGGAATTCTCTGGCGATCTCCTATCCGTATTAATTAGGCCCAACATTGCTCAGCTCCTGACTCCAAACAACGGTTCTGCCAGTTGCAGTTGTGCTAGTAGCAATGACAACTGCAAGTGGCAGAACCTTTGTTTGGGCTCAGAAGCTAAGCAACGTTGGGCCTAATTAGTACTTGGATAGGAGATTGCCAGAGAATTCCAGGGATCTGGAGTTGCAGTTGTAATTGATAGCGTAACTGAGCAATGATATTGCAAGTGGCAGAATCTTTTTGGGGGCTCAAAAACGAAGCAATGATGAGCCTGATACATAACTAGCACTATCCTCCACCTTCCAGTGAGAATTGGTATATTATTTCTTATAAATAGCCCCTGGCTGATGATGTGCTGGCCGGTTAAAATCTAAGTGCAAAATGTCTGAATGGTTAATTTTGCTGTATTTGCAGTGTAGAAGCTAAAAGGAAGGAGTGTTTAGACTGGAACTTTGACTTGGTTTTAGATACATTAGAGATAATGTGTTCTCCTGTTTATTAAGAGCCCTAGAATATTAGCCTGAAAATTTAAAGTCTTCTGGCCCGAGGATCTGCTATTTTATTTACAACAATATTAGCTTTGCTGCAGTTACCTAAAAACAACTATTGAAAATGTTACCAAGTGGAGCTGGGTGGGATTTGCTCAAAAGTCATTACCATAAATTGAAACTAATTAGTTTTGAGAGAGAGTAGGGAGTCAAGAGTATGTGTAGAATTGAATTATATTTGAAATTTTAAAAGAACTTAATCCAGATAAAACAGATATATTCATGGACAGAGAACTGAACTTGATAGGGCTGCAGGCCCCAAAGTGTAAGTTTGCACTTCCAGAATTCAGCACTCTGTAGGCATATCCAGACAGCGGGTTTAATGTGCCTGCCTTCAGTCTGTGAGATGGCATGAAGAATGCCTGTATAAATTTGCCCTGTCCTAATGATCTCTACTCTGCTTTGAGAATAAAGAAAGCAAGGGCTGCTATTTTAATACTTTATTGGAGGGGGAGATACTCAAAGTGCAGCTATTGGTGTCTACCTTGCTCTCCCAACAGTGTTTCTGTTACCTGGAATTTTAGGCTTCATTATTAGTATTTTAAAAAAGTGATATTAGCATTTTCAACATGGCAATCTAGGCCTCTTTTTTAACTTTAGGAAAGCATGTTTTCCTTCTGGGCCAAGGCCATTTCTTTTGGTATACAAGAACTTGCCTTTTCAGCAACTAAACAATAGACGGCATATTCTGAAAAGTCCTTGAATATACTTGCAAGTTTTAAAGATACAAACCGGGCTGGGAAAGAGAGTGATGTAACCCATAAATTTGCCACTTGTGGAATGTTATCTGTAATCAATATTTTCTATTGTTCAATTCTTATGTGTGATCAATGTCTTTTATTGGTTGATTACTTGCTTTCTGACATATCAGACATTCTATATGTATGTATCGTTTGTTTCTGTACCCTATAAAAAGACTTGACCCCCCCTTTAATACATGCCTTTTGCTTTGCCTGAATTACTTGGTGATTCGTATTTTCAGGTAGTCTAAAAAGCCACTTTTGCAAAAGTAAAATTGTTTTCTCTCCCAAATTCAGAGAATAGGCAGCTCCACGCCACTCAGGGTGCCTGAGCTTTAAAGGCAACATTGCCACTAGCACCAGCCACGCAAGAAAAACCAGCATCAATTGCTGTCTTTGGCAAAGTGGTGGGGCGGGGCTGTGTTAACAGCTCCATACTGTTTTGTGCTCTCTCTTGCTCCTGCCACTGCTTGTATAGACTGCAATTTGATGGTATAGTCCAATAGTATTGCAAGCTGTCTTAAGAGAACATTCCTTGAAAAGTGGTGTGCGCACACACACACTCACACAGAATTTCCTCCTGTAGAAGTATACTGACAATACTAGGCTTATTTTAGGAAGATATTGACATTTTGCTAATTATGCACATGCCTTATATCTGAAGATTCTTGGTTCAATCTGTAGCTCTTCTATTTAAAAGAGTCAACAATAAAAAACAACAAAAGACATAACATTTCTCTCTGAGGTCCTGGACAGGTTGTTGGTAGACAATAATAGACAATCTTGGGATATTTGGATGAATGATGCAGCCCAGTGTTGTGCTGCATTGTATATATCCTGATATCTCCTACATAAGATCATTATTCAAATGTTACTGAATTACCAAGAGATTCATAACTTAGGTCCAAGATCCAGCAGTTTATATAGAAACCTTCCTCATTATAGAATCTCTGGATGTGTTGGATTATGATCTCTATAATCTCCCAACAGTATCGTTTTTGGGGGAATGGAGGTTATGAGAGAGAGTTCAGTACATCTGGGAGCCACCAGGCTAAGGAAGTATAACGGGAGGGCTAGACATCTGGTCCAAGATTTCTTTAATTTCTGACCATCTTTTTTAAAAAAAATACTTGTAAAAACTGTGAATCCGGGAAGGCCCTATTCTTAGCCCCGCCCCCTTAGAGAACTTCAGAATTCCCAGAGGATTCTGAGCCGTTGGGTTTTCAGTTTGAAGCCCTGCTTCCAATCTGTTGAGTGGAGCAGCCACCTAGTCCTATAAGTGGCCCACAATGGATACGCTCACAGCCTCCTCTGTTTCTAACAGGCCCTGGGTACTTCAGTTCTTCCGAAACCTGTTTGGAAGCAGCAGGCATGTCACAGAAGAGGGGGAGAGACCTAAGGCAGGTGAGAAAGAGAAGGATGACATCAAAAGTGAGCTCTTGGACTGTCCCCTGTCGGATACTGAAGTAGCCGTCCCGGGCCAAGAGCCTGACATTCCCAAGACTTCCTCCAGTGAGATCTGCCAGGCGGTGATGGGTAGCCACACTGAAGAACTCCCCCTGATGAAGGAAGTAACTCTTGGAGACACTTCTGTTAAGGATGAGAATAAGCTCTCTGCTTTATTTAACTCGACCAGGATGGACCTGGGAGACACAGACCCCTTTGCTGAATCTATGCTAAGTAACAATGGAAGAGTTTCTGCTGCAGGAGAGAAGAAGCATGAGACTAGTGAGGGAGGAACACTGGGCAAGTAAGTGTTATGCCACCAGTGTTGTGGCTACACAGTGCAACGTGAATTAATAGTTCTGGTTGAACCCACGTTCAGTAGACTGCTACTCCTCACAGTGGAGAATCTGAGACTGGCTCTTTCCCTTGTTACCAGGGACAAGTAAAAGTGATTATCTTTTTGGACTGACTGGCACAGTTCATTCAGTTAAACCCTGTCTCATTCACAGCAGAATGTGAACAGAGAATTAGATAATATTACAATAAGGATTTCTATTAATTAGCTTCCAGATGTATTATGTTAGGGACTAATTAGAGGTCAGGTTGTTCATATGATTATTTGGCTATGATTGGCTAAGAATGGGAAAACAATAGGTTTCCTTGTTAACCTTCCTTTAGATAGATATCATACACTGAACTGATGGCATGAGGGACTTCAGCTAACTAAAGCTCATTGTAGGAGGCTTCTTATCCAGAAAGATATGCAGGGAAGGAAGAGTTACTAGAGCTGGCAGCCTGCCAGCATTTTACAGGATCCACTTGTTATCATTTCGACTTGCTGCCAAGAGTGAAGGATGCAAAGTCAGAGAAGAATCCAGCAGAACTAGATTTAGCACAGGGGGACACATGTAGGCTCTAAAACAGGAAATAAATCTAATGAATACATAATAATAGTAACATTGTTCGTTGGAGAGCTGCCCTTACTGAGAAATGCGCAGAAGTGAGTGTTGGCATTTGGCAGAGTTCATGTGGCAACATTGCACAAATTTGCTTGTCTCTGAGCTGCTGCGCCTCAGATGAGCCAGCTACCTCAAAGAAAGCCCCAGCCTATTTCATCCTATGGTGCCCCAATTCCTGGCAGACTGATGAAGCCCAGGAGCCTTTGGGGCAAAAAAAGAAAAAAAGAAAAGAAAAAAGGGAATGTTCCTTTCACAGAACAAAGGCCCTTGGAACACACTCCAAAGTATGTTACTCTAAAGAAAAAAAAAAAAGATATTATTTTTCCTCAGGATTTTCTGAAATAAAATATGGCAATCTTAGTTTGGCGTTCACAAACTAAATCTTTTTCTGAGGCTTTTGTGTGAGAATTAGTAGTAATTAGGAATTAGTAGAATTAGTAATCCTGTGAAGGTAGCTTTGAGTAGAAAGGTTTACATAAACAATGATACTAGGACTAATGCTTTATGTAAGCTTTTCTGAGTGAAGAGTTTTCCACACTCTATAATTATAATCACGGGGACTGAGTCACTGGGCTGATTAGAATAAGATTAATAGCTTAATTTATACAGTCAAACAAGGGGTATAGCTTCCAGATAGGTCTGATCCCAGGAATTCCAATCCATTCCCCCCCCCCCCCCCGATAACATTGCTATCAAAAGTGCTGGTCTTATTCAGTCCAGCAATGTATCCGTCTACATTTATACAGTACTACTGATATACCAAATAAATAAATAAGGGATTGGGGCATAGGTATTAAGGCAGGAAGAGAAATGGGGATTTCCCACCTCCACCCCCATTATAAGTAAAGAATCAGTGTTAGGGAACTTTTTCTTGAGAGGCATGCTTATAATAAACATGTTTTGGATTTAGGCATGAAATCACCCCAGCTGTATGTGCAGATGATGGAATCTCCATGGCTGCTGGATCCATAGCAGATATTAAGGACTGTAATGTTGAAGATGAAACAGAGCATCTACTGAAAGGTGAAAAATGGAGGAAGGTTCTACTGATCCATTTTTCAAATAGCTGTTGTTAACCTTTGCTTGCATCCCATCTGATACATGAATACTGAGAGTTTAGAGTATTTAAAGAAACCAGGAGGCAAGTTATACTGTATTGTGCTAGAAGGGCCATTAAAATGGGTAAGAAATGAAGTATTGGGAGTATTACATTCCATTTGACTCTATTGGACCCACTCAAGGCTGGCTTTCCTAGGTAAAAATATTCTGTTCTCCTATTCTTGTATAATTTGAAGAAGGAAATAACTTCAAATACAGCCTTCCCAGATAGACCAGACAGGAAACATGACCAGATGAGCTAATTTTATTTTATTCTAAGGCTACATTAACAGAATCTTGCAAGTCTGAAAGTACAAATCTTCCGCTGTG